GCTTCAGTCGAGTCAGTCGCACATCGCTATAGATGTAAATTTTTTTTTCTAACCCTAGAAATCTTTTATATCATCAAACAATAGTACTTCATAACTAATTTATATTTTTTTTTCCAGTTGAATTCACAGTTGTCACGATCATCAAAACTGCGACCGCTACTTACGACGAAGAGTGCAAATCGTCAGTGGAACCGAAAAGTGAAGACCAGTCAAAACGTTCAAAAACGCCAACGTACAAAGAAGGATGCAAAAATCTCTACCAAGTCAGAAGTTGTTGAATACTTGGATAAACCATTATCTTTACCATCTCCTTTAATGACTATCATCGCTAATGATCGTTGAGGGTGTAAGATTAGATCTAATTAAAAACTCATTATTATATACTAAAATAAATCTACTTAATTTTTTTTTCATCTATGATTACGATGAAATCGATAATCATATACGTTTGTTGTATAAGTATCTTTTCTTCATCATTAAGATTAACAATACTAAGGAGGTGGGTGTGGGTGTGAGAATTAATCATTGACACACTCGAAAAAATTCCTGTTTCTGAGTGCTTGAACACTGTCGTATTCTTCAGCAGACGATCTAATATTTTTTTCAATCTGAAATACATTCAATAAAAGATGAGTCGTGTGATAAAAATCGATTTTATCTTAGTGTTGTTGAACACATTGAAAAACTGAAACAGTTTGATATACATTTATTTTGTAAAACAAAATGTATTGAGAAAATAAAGACGTCATTAACGTTATTATTAGTTTTCCCAATTTTACTAAGTTTCTATGTGTTACCATCGTTTTATTCACAATACACACACATATTTTGTTATTGCACAATGTACTTATATTATTTTTATTGTAACAAATGTAAGTTTATATCCTTTTACATATTGTCTATCTCTGTATACTTATCATCTTTTCGTGAATCAACTAGATTTTTTTAAAGATTATAAATAACAAAGAAAATGTCTAGCTTTTATTATGCATCTCAATTTGTCATAAAAGAACACAGTAGGTTTCTGTTATCATAAGTATTGTTTATTCTTGGGCTTAAGTACGGACATATACCATACAAGGAGAAACTGAATATATATGAAAATAATCGTATATTATTAGAATAGATCCTTAGACAATAAAAAAATAAAACAAAGATTACATTCACAAAAATTGAGATGGAGAAAGTATTCGTTAACTCGATATAAAACAGGATAATATCTCATATTTAAAAGTTGAGGGTGTAGAGTGGGTGTGGGTATCTGTTCTTCAACCATACTCACATCGATACCAAAATGTAGACTTTTTTCTAAAGGTATCTTCATATGACTTTTTATTTGACAAGAAGAGCTTAAGCATGTTGTTATCTAAGTTTTTCATGAAACTCTAAAATATCTTGTAGATGTTGTTCCAATGATTGAGAGACGCTACATTCTTAGTTCGGTATGTTATGATATTAGTAAGAGTGAAAATCAATAATTAATCTCTAGTTGAGTAAAGTGAACAAAGAAAATATTTTATTCCAGTAGTTTTTTTTTCTTCCAGGAAACTTTGTATTTTCTCTCGAACAGGTTGATTGTCAATGTTGTCTTAACAATAAACACGTTAAACTTTTACTAAAGCAGCTTGCTTCGGCATCCTACCTATAAAACATTGGCGTTTATATTATGAATTCAGTAATATAGATGGTGAGTAACTTACACCTGTTATCATTTTGTTTCAGGCTAATGTTGAAAAACAACAAAAATTGTGCCCACTGCTTGATATGATTAATTTCAGTAGCATTTGTTGCGATTTTTTTTAGTAAATATTTTATATTGACGTCAAACATATATGAATTCAGTTACTTTTTAAATGAGCAGTTTTTTCTCAATATCACATCAGTTTTTTACTCGGTATTTAACGAGTTTGTGAAGGTAGGAGTTTATAGATAATCAGAAATGCTATAAGATTTAAGTATCTTCTATTAGGTTAGAACTATTTTAACTTAATGAGCGTGAATTAATATCGATGATGGTATATCAAACAGTAAAAATCGCATCCTAAACATCATCAACATTCAAAAGGGTTTTTGAGAATCGCTTCACACGAGAAATATTCTCACTAAATGAATGAATTAATCGCGAAATTATAGACAAATGCATACAAAACAAAGGATGTATATGTGAGTTTAGTTGGCACTATTGGTGTCAACAACACTAATATATTCACCCTCCTCGAAACCGTAACACTCGCACTCTTATATTTAAATCAAATTCTTCTCAGCAATTTATTGTTTTAGATAAAAACACAATTAAATAATCTTTACCATAATCAATTTATTCGAACAATTTATTGATGAGAATGAATATTAAAAAATATTTTCATTGGTTTTATCAGTTCTTATTGAATTGCAATCTCTTTGTTCCAGAACCCAATGATTATGATGATGATGATGACGATGTTGATGCGACCGAACAAACAAACCCACAAACTATTCTCAAACACCAAAAATATACAACTCGTCTATATGTTTTTCTTCTCATTGGTAGGTTCCATTGTGAGAGTAATACCCTCATCCTTACGAGCTAGAACAAACTTTCTCATGATTCTACATTCAAATATTGATTGATTCTTTTAGTTTCTCTTTACATGCTCTTATTTACTGGATTAACAAGAAGAGAATCTCGACAAATGAAAGTTACTCCAATCGATTCGTCGATTTATTACGATTTGAAAGATAAGTATGATGATATGCTTTCATGTCCATGTTCAAACGTAACCATACCTTATGAAGATTTTGTAAACAATCCAATCACATTTCATCCTGTTTGTTCAAGCATGTTTATCACTGAGCAATGGTTTGCAGCATTGTATTCAACAGATGCAAGTAAACATGGTGTAGCCGATTTTCGAACAACGGCTAGTCATCAGGTTAGTTATTTTCATTTCGAATGAAAGAATATAAATTTTTTAGATAAGAACTACCATTTGTTTGATTCTTTTACAGAAAAATCGCTACGGTCAGTGCTACTTTACACATATGATGTACCAAAACGATTTTTTGAAATTTCTATGTATTTTAAATATGAAATGAATCTTCGAAAATCCAAAAATATTTTCTAAACAATCTTGAGAGTCGAGTCAGTCATTGTGAACCTACTTGCCATTATCTCGAATGAGAGTGCGTCGTTCTCTTTATATGCGCATATCTCAATTGAGGCTTTCTCGAATATTTTTAAATCAGTCTATCCCGACAGCCAGCGACCGGGACAGATCACGAGGCATTATATATACTATGCCATATTGGAGATAATCGGGAATTTTCCAATTTCTGATTATCCAACTCTCTATTACACATCGATGTGTTAAAAATGAATCTCTCGAAAATCACTATAACGAATCAAGTCCGAGTTCATCTATAATATACACCTAAATACAAGAGAAGAAACATTCATTAGGAATCTTTTTTACATTTAGTTTCAATTATTGGCTGATCTTTGTGCAATGTCTAAAGAAACGATTAATCAATATGTTAACGATCTGAAAAAGGAAGAAATCTTAAGTTTCTCAATATTGAGTAACGAAACGTTGCAAGAAGAAGTGAAATCAAATCTCAAAAAGTTAAAAACTAGAGAAACTGATCGAATGAATACATTTCTCAATTATTCACGAATAAATATGCGATCAAATTATCTTATCTCTGCTTTAAACACTAATTTGATTATTGGAACCGTAACAGACGGTACAAAATATATAATCCTCGCAATCTCAGTGCGATATGAGAAATTCTACCAAAATTTATTCTATAGTTACCCATGGTGTAGCAAAGAAAATCCCCATGACAAATCATACTTTTTTACGATGATTAATACTACAAACGGCAAGCACTATACAGCATGGTTCCCATTCGATGTTTCGCATGTGCCCAAAGAGGACGGTTTTTATTCTTCAGGATTCTATGCTGCATGTACGCCTTTGGAAGCTATTCTGCTTAGTACATTAGATTGTTTATATCAGATGGAATGTCTTCAAGTACTCAACAAATATTTTCCAAAAATTAGTGAAGTATATCGAACAATAGTTTGTTTTATTCATTTCTTTTTTGTCTGCTTACTTTTAAGTTCAATATCGATCTAAATGCATCTCGTTTATTGTCTAAACCATTGAATTTATCTGTTGAAAAGCTTCTTTTGAATCTTTTTATTGATGAAGAACTACCACCACAGGTCGATTATCCAAAATATTTTGATCGATGTTCACCATCATATTGTATATATACGACAACAGATGAAATTAATATTGCTTATGCATTAACACTCTTCATTAGTCTTTATGGTAGTTTAATCGTTGTTCTTCGATTCATCGCACCGTTACTCATTCAGTTTTATTTTAAACTTCGCAAAATTGTGACAAATAGAGATATTCGTCAAAGTAATAACGAAAAAAAAACTTTATTTTTCAATCAAGAAATTTTTCTTTTGTCTAGATCTATCAGTACATATGAAAGAAACTTGGATGAAGTTTATTCGTAAAATGAAACGATTGAATTTATTCAAAGATATTAATGAAAGGACAGAAGAGGCAACTCAACAACAAAGGATCAATACACGTGTATATTTACTATTACTCTTGGGTAAGATATTCATATCAGCAATTGTCATCTGACGATGAATGAGTGCTTTTTTCCTTTCATAGGAGCAATTTTTATCTTCTTTTTGTATACATTGTTCCATGCAGAAACAGTAGTGATAACTGTGTACAATCCAAAATTAGAAGACTACCGGAATTTAGTAGCGCTTCATCGAAGTACTATCCGATGTTCTTGCTTAATAATAGGCATTCCACATCGTCATTTTATATCGCTATCTCCTCGATTCCATCAAATATGCACGAGTGATCTTCTTAATGAACGTTGGATATCATTGTTGAAGGAAGATAAACGTGCGAACGATGTGAACGATTGGCGTAATCGAGCATTCACACAATTTACATTATTGTCTAATCTTTGTGAACTAGCTCGGAAGACGGTTAATGATAGCATCGATCGCTTTCTGCTTGAATCTTTCGTTTCTGCAGATCTTGTCCGTGAAACAGAATTATCGATACAAATAAATTTAACATTACAACAGTTTTTCACCTCCACAATTTATCCATTCGAGATTCTTAATAACCTAACACATCTTCTAATGCAAGTTGATCAACCTTTCATGGGAGTAGTGATGGGACATGGTTATGGTTATATGCCAAATTTGTTGATGACGGACGTTTCAGATGCAATCAGTGGTAAAAAATCAGTAAAGGTATTGTGTTCACTTAAAAGTTTTTTACTAAGAGGCATTGCATGTAAGCCACAATCAGTTCTTGAGGGTGTGGGTGTGGGATGGGTGTAAGTAAAAAAGAAACATTCACATTCCCTAGACCTTTACTCAGACATAAATCATAATTATTTAGGTGGACTTTAATCTATCCGGCACTCATGATATCAATACAAGATCGATCAATTGTGTCTGTATCGCAAATCCTAGTTGTAACAGTCCGGCTGCAATGTATGACGAGAATGATCATTATAATTCGTCGCATAATCGATATAACATTACACTTATCACTGGCTTAATAGAAGGATGTTTTGTCTTTGATTCTTTATTATTATCAACATTAGAATGTTTCTATTCGGACTCATTTTGTTATCGATTATTAATGTCAAAAGTCATATATGCGGTACTCGGTCGAGGCGATTATCCGTGGTATGCAATACGTCCATTGGTATATGATCCAACAAGTCGTTATCCTTCTAACAGTTCAATTAAAACAATTCTTCAAAACTTAATGATTGAACAATGGAATCCACATAATTCATACGAAGATTATTATCGAGCATGTTTACCAACTTATTGTATTTATTCACAAGTAACTAATCAGAAAACCCTTCTCAAAATCATTCTCAGTTTAATATCACTAATTGGTGGTTTAACTCTTGTGTTACGCATCATTGTTCCCCATCTTGTTAAGTTCACTCGTCGTTGTTTTCGAAAAAACAGACAACAACAGCAACAGGTAGAAGAAGATGAACAACAACAAGGTAATACTTGATTAAATATCATCGAACAGGAAGTTTAAGTATGGAAGTGAAATATAGACTACCATACTTGCAATATCAAGATCGAATCGACTATTCTTTTAATAGGATTTATATGTACTTTTTCTTTTTGATTTAGTTCATGTGAGTATTTGCAATCGATTACGAACATTTCTACGAAAAATTGCATCCCTTGTGTATGCCAAAGTAGTTGAACTGAATTTATTTCCTCAACGAGATTTCGGAAGTAGTTTTAATCCTGAAATATATCAACAACTTGGTCGATGGGCTACTCGTTTATTTATTGTGTGCTTAATATGCTCATTTCTTCTGCTCTTAGTTTATCGAATCATCGAGCCGGCGACGTTGACAAAAACATTTTCGGAACCTAATTTTGAGCGATATCAATCTTTGAAAGAAAAATATAAAGATCAATTGACATGTATTTGTCAATCATTTGCAACTCAATATGATCGCTTTCTTGAAATTCAATATAATTTTCATCAGGTAATCTAATTCTTCCAAATATTCTCTCTATTGACGTGAATGTATCAATATTTGTTTAATCTATTTAGATATGTGAAAGTGAATTTGCAACTAATGAATGGAGAACCGAAATAGCATCGTCCATTGTTGCGAATCTGTCCAAATATGATAAACGAGATTATCGTCGTCATTTGACAAGTCATTTACAATATTTACATGGTTTATGTCAATTATCTAACAAAACCGTTGAAGACGATCGAGTTCAACTATTGTCTCAATCGTTGATCACAAATGAACTACTATCCGAAAATGAATTTACTAATCATTTTAATGCATTTGAAAAACAACATCGGTTAAATCTTCCGAAATTATTCAATCGTCTGTTGATGTTAATGTTAAATATGAGCCATGGTAACGCATTCATGTCTACATTGGGAACTAATTATCAATATCTCACACCTTGGGACTATCATCGTCTAGATTATTATTATTTCACCTTTACTGAAGCTCTGCTGTATGATCATCAATGTTCATGTGCATTATCTCGTTATTGTATTAGTGATGCACATCTATTTGAAAATAATTCTTCGAAGACGATATTCATCGAAGGAATGAAAATCGGTTGTACACCAAGTGAATCATTTCATCAATCTACTCTTCAATGTTTTTATAATTCATCATGTCTTCGTCTTCTTGTCAAAAATTCCATTGTTCCACTTGTTCTAAGAGAAAGTCGTTATTTAATCAATACAACAGTTGATGAACTTCGAAAGAATCTCTTCCTTGAAAATTGGAATACAACATCGAATTATTCTGCTTACTTTCATGAATGTTTACCATCAATTTGTTCATACAGTTACGTTAAAAAATTCAATCTCATCTACTTAGTCACTTCTTTTCTTACTCTCAATAAAGGCTTAAGCATTATTTTCAAATGGATCTGTCCAAAATTAGTTCTAGTGATCTTTCATATTTATCTTTATCTAAAAAAGAAACGAAATAATTCTACCCATCCAATACCTTCAGACGTAACAGCTGAAAATGAAACTGAAGATGTCTGTGAATCAATTCCATCGATGACAACTCATCAGTAAGACTATCTTTTGTTAATATTATTCTCAGTGATTTTCATTTCACAGACGAACAAGAAAAAGAAAATGTTTAATCATTATTTTTATCATGATATTAATTATTATTGGTTTAATCTTCTTTTCGCTCAAAGTCGCAAGCGACAGTAAGACGTTTGAACTAAATAGGATAAGCCTATTTCTTTTTCGAATTTCTCGATGACGTATTTTAAAAAATTTCAATTCATTTCAACTAGATTCTTCGACAATCAAGACGACAACAATAACAACAACATTAAATACGATTTCGTACGCAACAGTACCAAAAAATGACACCCGTAAGTCTTTTTTTAATACAGAGTGTCCAATAACTTAACTGAAATATTCGAATTGATGTCCATGAGCATGTAAGCTGTTTCAAAGTTGTTCTGACTATGATTCACAAAGTCATCTGTGCAGAGTAGAATCTAATGTTGAAAAGAACAAGATAAGTTTTGAGAATTGATTTTATACATAAATACTTCCATAAGAAGATTTAGCAAACCTATCAGTTGTATCTCGACAAATAATGATTTGCGGATATTTCTTCCATGAAAATGAGTCTATGTAATGGTAAACATCTATTATTTGCGATATTATTCAAGACCACTTTAGTTAGTCAAATTCATGATTTGTTTCTATTTTATTGAAAATTCAGTATTTTTCGTGTAGGAAAGTTGTTCTGCGCCGCTCTTCTTACCGAATAATGTATGAAAGAAACTGAAACTATTCTATGTTTGTGTTCTATCTATAGTTTGTTACGCAAGTTTTGAAATTATAAATAAAAGTTTGGAGTGCCATCATCCGTCAAAAATCATGTCAATAGCTCTTGTTCATTTCAATGACGATGACCATATAGATTTATTCGTATTCCGTCGAACTCCATTTGATATACTTTTTTACCCTGGAAGCAAGGAAGAAATATTATGCGGGACAGCCATATTCAACGATATGAATTTTATTTGGGTCAGTTATATTGCTGTTAGTAATTTCAATAATGATAATTATATTGATTTAAGTTATATGGATAGTCAGAAAGGTGATTTAGTAATACGAATGGGAAATGGTGCTGCATCGTTTGGAGATCCTGTCAGTTATTCGATAGGAAATTTAACTTGTCCGACTGCCTTTGCCATAGGACATTTGAATAATGATAATTATACGGATATCGCTGTGATCAATTATCATGCTGAGTTGCTGAGTATTTTTTTTGGATTGGGAAATGGAAAATTTGCGCCGGAAAAACATCTAGAAACTAAGCGATTGACTTTCTCTCGATCAATTGTTCTTGCTGATATCAATAATGATTCAATCGATGACATTATTGTCAGTAATTCTGATAATAATACAATCAGCGTTTTTATTAATCGTGGTGATGGAAAGTTTCATGATGAAAAAGTTTCATATTTGCTAACAGAATACTCTGCTGAACATATTGCTTTAGGAGACTTGAATGGTGATAAAGAAGTGGATATCGTTATTTCGTATGAATTCGGAAATAGACTAACTATCAGCTTTGGAAATGGATCTGGTTATTTCAATGTGATGAACCATTTATACCTTCAGGTTAGCAGTGATATTTTAACAATTGAACTCTGCGATTTGAATTCGGACAATCATTTGGATATACTTATTGTTCAACCTAAGCCGTATACTTTTACTATTCTGTATGGATATGGTGATGGAGATTTTCACCATAAAAAGATTTTCTCACTTGACTCTGATGTTTCGATGGCATGGATAGACGTAGCAGATATCAATAAAGATTCTTGTAAAGACATAATTCTAGTAGATAGAGAAACACAAACTCCTCGAATATTTATGAACAAATGTTTATGTTCTCAT